GACAATATGGATCCCTGGAGAACACCAGAGTTGATGGTAAATGTATTCGAAAGATATCCATCGATAGGCACTTTCAGGGAACGTTCTTTCATGAAGCTGAAGAGCCATACACAAAAATGATCCGACAAGCAAATTCTCATGTCACACACGGTCACAGGCCTTAGAAATATGTTTCTGGATTGCGTTATTCTGAATATGGGTGACATACTTTAGAAGGTCGCCTGTTTTGTTTTCGAAAACCATATTGATAATCGCACAAGATGTTGAAGCCTTTCAAATATTTGGGAATATGCTGGTTTACTGCTTTTTTTGCTATCACTAAAAGCAAAGATACTGGTCTATAGTTATTTGGAAGATTTTTCTTGCCCTTTTTGGGAATAGGCTAAACGCGAGCAACCTTCCAACAAGAAGGTAAAACCCCTTTCTTTTAAGATAGCTTGAGAAGTCTGCAAAATACTGGTGTGAGTTCAGAAGGAAATTTACAGAGGGAAGAAAAAATCAATCAATTCCAAAATTAAATTTTTACAAAGATGTGCATATCCTGCATATAAGTCACTTTTGAAAAGAAACTGAAAGAAAGAGCCTTATTGAAACAACTACTCCCATAAAAATATTGAAATACATGACAGAAAAATTACTCTCGAAACAAATACTTTTTATGAATACTGGATTATATAAAATACTATTTTTCCTATTCAGTTCGTAAGTTTGTACTTCAAATATTCGTTACAGAATGGAATCAGATATCATTCATAGGAAAGCTACACCATATATTATCATACCGAGAAATACATACTCATTGTATACTTTGATTTTTTCTTCATTTCTTCAGTTATTTTTACGGAATTGAAAACATTAAATATGCTCACAAAGGGGCAGTATTTGACGGAACGGGAGATTTTTCACAACTTCCGGTTTTTCTGGAATTGGCATCAAAATTTGATTTTTGAATGACACACCCTGTATACTTGATAGTTTGTACTGAAATATCTGACGTGAAATGAATCTGTTGAAAACACATTTCCATCACCAGAACAAAAATACGGTCCCTTGAGACGCGTTTCGCTAACCAAGTTAGCGTCCTCAGGAGATCATCCTGAGGACGCTAACCTGATTAGCGAAACACGGGTCGAGAGACTGTATTTTTGTTCTGGTGTTGAGAAAGTGTTTTCAATGGACCCTGTATACTATTATATTTATGCAATCTACATCAATTTTTGAATCCGATGACACTCCATAGTTGACATTTGAATTATGGTTTGGAACACATGTTTCTGTCAGATGGCCTAGAACATCACCCGACTTAACTGCTTAATACACCCTTAAGGTCTTCGCGGGTTATCGGGAAAGTTGCTATGGAACAATAAAACAACTTTTGACGTAGCGATGAACTGTTATTGTTATTTAGTTGCTGAATAAGTTGGTGGAGATCGCATTCATAATAGAAATGAGTTGAAAATGCCACAAACTCATAAACAGAAATAAGTAAGTGTATAAGCAGTTCAATCATAGGGAACGTTGGCAAGTTGCAGGCGAGAAATTACTGCGAGCGTCTTGAACGGAGTTGAGACTCCTGGAACACTCCTCGTTGATTCTTTATTCATTTAGCTATTGTCAACTCATTTTTGTTAATAATATGATCTTCTACAAGGTATTCAGTAACTAACAATAATGATTCATTGAAACGCCAAAAGTTATTTTATTGTTACACAGGTACTTTCACCATAACCTCAAAGAGGTCTAAGGGGGTTAGGTCAGGTGATCTTGGAGGCCACCTGACGAAACCATGTGTTCCAATTCATAATTCAATATCAACTATGAGTATGTGTCACCTGAAATAATAAAGAGTAACGATATAAAATCTCAGTTAGATGTAACTACATGAGATGAGACATTTTTCCATTCTTCGAAAGATTCACATATTTTTTATAGAGATTGAGAAGTGGGAAGCCAGAACCTTTCTTCTTCAATAATCATCTGTCCCTCCACTTCTCCATCTTTACATTTCTCTCGTAAAAATATATCCCTTTCTATTCAAGTAACGCCCATTATGTACAAACTGTTTGAAGGTGGTTGACAATGTTTCGTGGTGTATTTCATCAGTTCGGACTTCCATTGTCTAATATAATATGAATTGATTTGAAATCCCTGAAAAAAATTGGAAAATGGGAAAGCTATCCGAAGATGGGGACCTGAAAGATAGAACAAACTTACCGATACAAGTAATTATGGAATTACTAGGATGCTGTGTACGGAAATGCTACTTCCATCTGAAGGACGAATTCTTTACGCAAGATGAGGGACTTCCAATTCCACCGGTTATATCTAATATATATGAAGTGGTTTGGAACTCTGGCCATTGAAGAAGCCCACAAGAAGCCCCAAGTCTGGTTGAGATACGTAGCGACACCTTCATAATATGGAACCCTGGGAATGCAGAACTAGACACATTCCTGAAGCACATCAACAACGTAAGTCCTTCTGTCACTTTCACAATGGAGAAGGCAGTCCACAACGAATTTCCTTTCTTAGACGTATTGGTGAAGAGGACCGACGACACTACATGGGAAACATCTGTATATCGAAAACTCACTCACACAGGACAGTATCTGAATCAGAAATCCAACCACCATCAATCGACTAAGAGAGGAATCATCAAAACTCTACTAGACCGTGCTTTCGGGCTCTGTAATACAAAGAAAGTTCTCAAAAAGGAACTAGCCATCATCAAAAATGACTTTCAACGGAATGGTTACTCCAGAGTTATGATAGAACAGGCTTTAACTAGAAGACAGCGAGAGCTCCACAAGGAAGAGGGGCCGTCACAACCAGTACTTGTACTTCCCTCCATCAGAGGATTATCGGAAAGGATAAGGAGGATTCGGTCCAAGTATAACATCGGGACCTGCTTCAGATCTGAGAACACTATTCGTAGCAGCCTCACAAAAACTAGGCCACCAAACTCGGACTGCGATTCCAAGAATTGTATTTACCGGTTATCCTGCGAATGCGGAAAATCATACATCGTTGAAAGTTCGCATTGCTGAGCACAAGAAACACACACAGCGAGGAAAAACCAGCAAATCTGGAATAGCAGCGCATGTTTGGACTCATCAACATAATATCAAGTTGGCTCAAGCTGAAATCATCCACAAAGAGGAACACTGGTTTAGGAGAAAATTCAAAGAAGCCGCGTATATGGTGTCCAACAACGCATTTAGTCAAGCCAGCGTAGAGATACGTAACATTTGGAAACTTCTTATCACGCGAAAAACGACCAACTCTCGCCAAACGGTCATCTCTCGCTGAAACCAATGAAGCGGAGAGAGGGAAGAGGGAATAGGTGAAAGCACTTGAATGACCTATAAATAGTCAGATCTAGGAGTCCAGTTATCACCCGAAGACGATTGTGGATCCTAACAATCGAAACGTCGTGACGTAACTTGCTTTGGAATCTTTTAATTTTCATTTTTAATTTTTTGTTAATAATATTTTTAATTTTCAGCTTTGATTAACATTTCAATTTTTTATTTTTTTGGTTGTAGCTTGTATGTTATTCATTTGTCATTTTAGTTTTTTGTTTAATAAAATTGTTATTTTCGGTTTAGCTGAGGTGAGTTTCCTCTTTGGTAAGCTTGACCATAGTCTTCTCATATCCTCGGAATAAGTCGCTGGTTCCGGGTCCGGATCAATTTTTATTCGTTTGGCTGTTGCTTGTATGTTATCTCTTTGTAATTTCAGTTTTTTGTTCAATAAAATTGTTATTTTTGGATAAATTTTTTTAATTTTTTTCAGGGACTCCAAATCAATTCATATTATTTTAGACAATGAAAGTCCGAACTGATGAAACACATGTACATACTATGCTGCCATTATAATTGTATATCCACTAGTAATCGCAGGTATTTTTATGCTTTCTATTCATACTCGCAACTGTCAGTTTATATTTTTGTGTCGTTGTATTGTACTAATATATACTTTCCTACGAACTGAATGTTCAATCTGAAAATAAATACATATCTATACATGATAACTTGATAGTTGTCATGTCTGTTCTTTCATAATATTACTTCATATCCATAACTTATTTAAATGGGTTCCAGAAGCGACTTATTTATAAACAGACATCGAAAGGCATCATTTAGATGTCAAATACTCCAAAGGACATGATGGAAGTAATTTTTAACTCAGAAATGTTATGTCCAGATCAACTTTTTTTTTACTGAAAGTGTTTTCTCAATCTTAACGTTTGCATGTTGGTACTGAAGTCTTGTTCTTTCGTATGGTTGAAGTTCGACTCCTGATGAATTTCCTTGCCCGTTTTTCGGTCACTCTTCACATTTTATGTGTTATTCGTTGTACATGACAATACCATGACAAACTGATGGAAGACAACACCTGACGAGGAAATTAGTAGCAGTAGTAATCAGTACTTTCTAAAAACAATATGCCACAATTTTTGTAGCGAGCAGCAAACATGTTTTTCATTACTGACATGAAAATCAATATATTTTCAATGAATACGCCTGGAAAAATGAGTTTCCACAACCTAGAAATTTGAATAAAAAATTAATTGAAAGTGCCTTTTACAAAGGAAACATGCATAGATGAAATCGATATTTATGTCAACCTCTTCATCACTACATTTCGTTTTCAAATGAGATTCTTGACCGAACCACAGAATCAACGTAACTCTCATAACTCCTGGAAATGTAATTGAAATTTCTTTAACATATTCAGAAATACGTATCCCAACTTTGTTCAAGTTTATTTACAATTTCTTCATCGATTGAATCGAATCAATACGAAAATAACAAGTATTTCTGTGAATTCCAATGGTCATTTCTCGAAATAAAAAGTTATAAAGTTCCCTTCACGAGTTTGGGTTGTTCTAGAATGTTGTGGGGTCGTTATACGTGATGAATTTCTTATGAATTTAACGATAATCAATCAGAAAAACGAATAGAAGAATACGAGTTGAATGGAATGAGAAAACTCACCTAGTTATATGTCAACTTGATGTCCTACATTAGCACTCAACCACAACATAACTAGTATTTTTCTGTTGTATTCTGAATAAACTGTAACGTATTTAGTCAAAACAAATTTTTCTCTGTCCCAATTTTCTCCGCACAACCAAACAGGCGTATGATAACAATCACCAAAAGTTAACTTGGGGGTTAGCAGTCCCGTGGTGCACTTCCTACGGATGTCGCAACGATACTGTTGAGTCTTACAGGTACGACGCTTAATAGCGTCGACTCCGTTAATGCATCCCGACGCTACACAGCTGCAAATTGATGATTGTTGACGTAGAATGGTGGTTTTTGTTGTATTTTCGGGCGTACGGCGTGTTGTATTATTAGCATCTTCGGTAGAAATATCATTCGAGTCTTTTGTGAACTTTTTTCTTTCTATACAAGGATTTCCAGTAGTAGACATCGGAATCTGGAGAGAGCGAGTTTTGATAGCGAAAATAAATATTTACTGACATTCATCAACAGATACAGTTATTGCCTTTCTCGTGGAGAGTTTTACACTCTCCCATCAATTCTATTCATAAGAAGTTGAGAACATCGAATTGAATAAATGAATATAGGGTCTCTCAACTGAAACTTCCGAACTCTTACAATTGATAATGGCTATCTTGTTGAAGCTATATCTGTCAAATTAACTGTCATTTTTTCAGTATGTTTTGCCAAATCACCATGGACAGATATAGCATTCAACGACACGTGCAAACAATAAAATTGTTTCATCAAAATATGTGTTCTGTTCGAGCAACGTACCGCTCACTTCGCCCATTTTATGGTCGCCAGAATCGTCCTACCCAGAGGACTTTTCGCAATGTGGTGGGTGAATTTGAGTACACTGGTTCAGTAAATCATCAGTCAACACCCTTACGTAGACGACCCGCAATATCTGCCAAAAACATCGTCGCTGTCTGTGAGAGTATGCAGGAAAATCCGAGGCAGTCGATTTCGCGTCCCTTATAAAAACTCTGCCTTTCGCAGACCACAACTAAGTAAATTTTGTGTCATGACTTGGGCCTGCACCCGTACGAAATTCAACTGACGTAAGAACTGAAGGTAAGCCACCATAGACAACGAAGTGTGCTCATTGAATGGGCTCTGGAGCTATAGTTGGCAAATGATGACCTCTAATTTCCATCGAAAAATCATCTTCAGCGCTGAATAGGTACGTGAACAAACAAAATTGTCGAATTTGGGACGATACCAATCCACATGAGTTCCAAGGGCGTCCAACACATTCCGAAAAATCACTGTTCAGTGTGGATTTTGGGCTGGCGGCGTTATCGGTCCATATTCTTTTGAGAACGACGTTGCCCAGGCCATCACTGTCAACGGCGAGCACTATGGGTCGATGATAACCAACTTAGTTTGGGCTCAGTTGGATGTGGTTTCACACAGCTCATAATACATTGGATATTCTGCATGAGCGAGTTGAGGGCATGGTCATCTCACGTGTAGGTGATGTGAATTGGTCACCGAGATCATGCGATTTGACCTCGTTAGTATTTTTCTTGTTGGCTCTTTCGAACGAATAGAAAACTTCGATGATATTTCACAAACACTTAGTTTTATTTGAATTTAAAAATAGGAAGCGCTCAATTAGATTAGATTAGATTAGATTGTCGGCGAGCTAGCCCATGGCCTGATTCACTTCGACCTTTTCAGATCTATTGTGATGCTTCTTGGTTGTTGGAGCTCATTGTCTAGCTTGATCTCTTTGAGGAGACACCATAGCCTTGACACTGTCCCCTTCATATAGCTGGCAGCCTCTGGTTTCTCTTCCCCGCTTCTTGCGTGTCTCAGCTTTGCTATCGTTTCGCAGTCACAGAACACATGCAGAACCTGCATTGGGTTCCTTCTGTCGAATCCATGTTGTTCATATGTTTCCTGACTCGGCTATGCCTCATTAGTAAACTTACCACTACCCTTATAACCTTACGGTTTTGGTTTAGTGGATCGTCCCTGAATCTGAGCAATATTTTGTTTATGAACTGTTTCTACTGCCTCATTCCTGGGAGCTTATTCCATCAATCTGTCGATTCGGCTTGCATCTAGGCATTTATGGATGTCTTTATACATGCTTCCGTTACCCCGCAGAAGGGTTCTGGGCCGATCATAACCTGGGCTAGAACATCGGCCTCCTCATTGCCCTTGTGACCCTCATGTCCGGGTACTCAAGCTAAAGTGACCCTATTTTGGGTAGCTTCCCACCAGTCTTGAGAAGATTTGAAACAAGCTGAGCGCCCTAACAGCCGCCTGGCTGTTGGAGAAATGGCAATGATTTCATTTGTGACCTTCTGCCTGTTTGTTTCCCCTATACAGTGTTTGATGGCCGCTACTTCTATATGGAACACAGTTGCATTATGTCCGAGGCTTAATGCGACTCTCGTCTTTGCTCTGCCTCCGTACCGGCTCTGACTCCTTCTTGGGACTTTCAGCCATCTGTATACCAAGTTTCTTCCGCTTTTACCAGTGGGCCGTTTTGCCACTCCTCTCTAATTGGTATGATTTTGAAATCTTTTTGAAAGTTGTACTGCGGAACTGTGTTATCCACGGGCATTCCCAGTATTGTATCTGCCTTCAGTTCTTTGTACAGTTTCGAGTATTCTGCACCGTGTGACTGGCTGATTGGGGTTTGCTCCTGTATTAGCCTGTGTGTCACAAGTCGAGCTTTTCTTTGTATGTAGAATGCAATGGTGGAAGTCCGAGTACGACCTCAAGTGCTGCAGTTGGGGTCGTTCTCATGGCTCCCGCGACACTTAGGCACGCCAGCTTTTATATGCCGCCTAATATTCTAACCGTACCCGATTGCCTTGTTCTTGTCCACCAAGTCACTACACCGTATGTTATTATCGGTCACACTACTATTGTAGTGGATGGTGGAGAGTCGAATAGGCCCACTCATTTTAGACCTTCACACCCAACTCTTGTACATAATCAAACTGTCATTTCTGAGTCCAGTACCCAGTTTTTCTCGCACATTCTTCTGCAGATTCCGAGGGCCATCTTGGCCTAATGTGCTGTTATTTGGATGTGGAGGTTCCGCGTGAGCCTGTGATCGAAAGTCACACCTAAGTATTTGACTTCCATAGCGGAAGAGATCTCCACTTCATTGAGTATTGGTGGTTCAAGCCCTCTCATCAATTTTTCCTTGTGAACACGACGACATTGATTTTTTGGGCATTCACTGAGAGGTCCTCATGCTCGCACCATCTGCCGACGATGTTCAAAGCTTGTTGCATGCCCACGGGGATGACGCCTGCAAATTTCCTCTTGTGACTATTGTTTTATCTTGATATTCTAAACACAATTCGTTTTTAAATCTTTATTCCTTGAAATCCCAAAATCCACTGTCTCGGCACAAAACGCCATTCGATAAAGTTTTTTATTTAAATAAAAACTTAAACATAAAAAGTTACACTTCTTATCTACTACTCCGAAAACCAACAAACAATGGAAATAATAATAATGTTAATATATTACA